GGTAAACGGCCGCCAAATGAAACGAAGAGCGATGCCCCGCCGTCAAAGCGCAGCAAAGACAGCAGGAAAAGGGACCTATAATGAATCAGATGATGAGGCCTACGTAATTCTTCATGTGATGAACTTGAAAAGGCAGATTGCAGGCCTCGCTCACAATCGAAGGTACTTGGACTCTGGTGCTACAAGTCACATGACCAATCAATTGACGGACTTTGTGGATTTCACGCCGTTCAGTGCACGAGTGCGTGTTGGAGGTAATCACTCCTTAAGTGTTGAAGGAATTGGTACCGTTGTGAAACTGTTGAGCACGAGCAGTGGAAAGCAAAGATTGACGTTGCGTGGAGTAAGATATGTGCCCGAGTTGCAGTTCAGTTTATACTCGGTGCGACAGGAAGTAAATAATAATGTACCAATTACGGAACGCGTGAAAGTGCACTTTGACAAGCCAGAGGGAGCTGATGTGATGCTGCAAGATGGGAATACAGTGGCGCATGTAGACGAAACAAACTTGTATCGGCTGGAGCTGGAAAATCCTAGTAACGTGGCCATGGTGGCTCTGCCAAAGAACACTGATGAGGTGAGATTGTGGCACACTAGACTAGGCCATCCAGGGCGTAGTGTGTTTAACGCATTGTTTCGGCATGACGCATGGCCACTGGGCAATGTGGACCTTCGTACCCCTGAGAATTTTGAGTGTGAAGCTTGTGTAAAGGGAAAAATGACTCGAAAACCCTTCAAGTCACTAGCGGTTCAGCATCGAGAATGGCTAGAGGGCGAGATGGCTCACCTTGATGTGTGGGGTCTATATGCAGAGGCGTCTTACGGTGGTAAGAAGTACTTTGCAGTCATTGTCGATGATGCAAGTCGGTTTGTTACTGTAGTCTTACTCGAACGTCGCTCGGATATTTATGAGGGGTTTGGTGGCGTGCATGAAAGTCAAAAGTTGACGCACCACCTTCAGGCCTTTGCCGATGCTGACTTTGCGAATCGTGTTGATGATCGCAAGTCAGTTGCAGGATATTTGACGCAGTTTTGTGGTAGTACGATTTCATGGTGCAGCCAGACGGAGAGGAGTGTGGCATTGCACACGACGGAGGCTGAATATATGGCACTAAGTCTGCTAGTGCAGGAAATTGTGCATCTGCGCCAGATGTTGAGAGAGTTAAAAGTGAAGCAAGTGAAACCCTGTGATGTGTTCGTGGACAACGAAAGCGCGAAGAAGCTCGCGAAAAACCCTGAGTTTCACAGTCGAACGAAGAATATAGATGTTCGTCATCACTTCGTGCGTGAGCGTATAGAGTTGAAGCAAATCGATGTGAAGCGAGTACCCGGCGCTGAAAATGTGGCTGATGCTTTTACACAGCCACTACCAAGGGCAAAATTTGAACAGCACCGAAGCGCTATGGGCTTGATTTCGAAAGAGACCTTCGAGTCCACGGGTGGCCGGCACAGCGATGACAACCAGTAGGTGGGGCTGTTGTGATGTACTGGTCCTCACGGTTGGTGCCGACCCGACTAAAAGGCTTTGTTGTTGAGGGTGTGTCACTGAGGCAGTTGGAAAAGGTGAGGAAAGTAGTGAGAAAACATGATGATGGAAATTGAGCTAGA